CTGATAACTGGTCCCTTCTACACCTTGTGGTCAGACAGGCCGGTGTGCTTCTTCCATGTGGGCTTTGATGCTTCTCAGCTAGATGGCCTCTTGTTTATCTTCAAGCCTTTAAGACCCCAGACGCTATATCTTTTGATAGCCAGGCACCATCAGATTTCTTCACCACATTTTCTTATGCACACATTTTTTCTTCAGCAATCGTTTCAGGAAGGTGTGCATCCTGGAATGCCAATTTAATAGAACAATGTGTTCTTGCATTGAATAAGTACTTGAGCGGGGGCCTAATGTCCATCTGCTGCCTTAATATTAAACCTATAAATATATACATGTAGATCTGTTTCCCCACGCTCTTATATAAATATATTTACATATGTACATTCCAGTCTTTAGACCTCTATAAATACCCTTGTCACCTAGTTCTTTCCTTATTTCCTTTTACTTTCCTCTTGTCCCACTATCATGCTCAGCCTTCATTTGGGTTTCAGTAATTACTCTTGGTTACGTTGCCCTGGCTGAATGCCTACCAGACCTCTAACACCCTCCTTGCCACTGATTTTGGATTACTTATTGCCCCCCTGTCCCTGGGTTGGTCAGCACCACCTCCTTACCCCGCCTCCCCTTCTCCCATGTCCCCCCGGAACCATTGGTCCCGTTGTTTTCTCCTCCAGCCTATTCATCCCATCTATCTTATCTAGATAGATCTGTAGAGATAATAATATGCACCCAAAATCAAGCCATAGCAAGATAGGCAATGAATGAGAACACAGCGATGACAACAAAAAAGAAAACCAATTATCCGTAGAAGAGTAAATTAATTAAAAGAAAAAAATTTAAAAAGAAAGAAAAACCTATAAATAGATCAAGGTCTGATTTTTTATCTCTAGGTGTGTCCTTCAGTCATGTCTGATGGGGTGCCATGCTCTGGCCCCGAGTCAGTCCTTTGTACTCCCTCGGGGACTCACTGCTCTGCTCCCATGGTTGCTCTGCCGCACGCCTTTAGTGATTTGCCTCGGTGTCACAGGGTCAGTCTGGGCCAGTCGCGACACTGAGTCTCCAGTGTTGTCCCCCTTAGGGTCCTGGGCCAGCAAGGGTAGGTATGTCTCATAGTGGGATCAGCCATATTGTCCATTCTATGCACTGGCTATTCAGAATGGAGCTATCATCCTCCAGGCCTGGTGGGCCAGATGTGCTCCACTCTCTCTTCCTCCCCCTTCATGTGCTCCCATTTGCTCTGATCTGACATGCCCCTCTCCCCTAGCTGCAGCTTCGGTGCCATCCTCTCAAGTAAATATTTCTGGGGGGAAGAGCAGTTGTCCATGTAGCTGGTATGGTGACCAAGACCTCCGACCCCTCCACTGGCTGCCCACTCCTTGCCAGCATGCTGCATTCGTCTGGCACTGGCTTTACGTCTGGCCCTTCTTTCCCAGTGGAGAAACAAA